GATTTTCACCACGAGTGATGAATGAGAGAGCTGCTTTCTAAGACTTTAGCGCTAAAATAACAAAAGTTTTCGAGCTATCTTGCCAACTATCTTCGTTTTTACTATCTTACTCAGAATTTCCCATTCGTAAGATATCACCAAGCCAGCGTAGCCACTGGATTTCAATAAGCTGTATATACCGCTGTAAAGCTCAAACAGATCATCGAAGTCTTTCTTTCGAAAATTCCAAGACTCGTCTCATCGGAAATTTTCATTGTCCAATCTTCTACGCCCTAGATCAGCACGGGCATTATGAGTGACTTATAGAGTGTGATTTTTGTACGACGAGAGTCCAAAGTGGCTCTTGTTGGCAAGATATGTTTTAAGTTGGATTTTAAGGCTATCGTTCTTATTGGTGTTCACGCTGATTTCTAAATAAACGAAGCGATCTACTCTTCTGAAAATTTTACTCTCAACAGCTACCTGAGTACCGAGACGCTTATGCTCTGACTGATTGTCTGACGACATGAGACATTTTGTTTTGTCCTCGTGCACCACCAGACCCACACGTTTTGCTTCGCTATCTAATTCGGAGAAAGCAGAACAAAAGTAGCCATTTTTTACCGTTGATGTCGATGCAATTGTACGCTACTGTAAAGAATTTTACCTGAGCGGTTCAGTTATGTGGCTGCTATTATTTTCTCTAATATCAGATTGAAGCAATTAAATACACAAAAGGAAGTCCCTCTGTCTGAAACCTCGTTTGGTATCAAACGGCTCGAAGAAGTGCTCCTAATTGTGATGAAGCTTTTCCATTTGTTGAACAAATAGCTAACGACTAATCGTGAACATACAACATAGGGCTGGTCATGTGACCAATAACAAATACTTTACTTGCACTTTCTTGAAGGCAATGGCGAATGAAAGGCGTACAAAAAATTTGATGATTTTAAATTGAAATGGAATATCTGGAGAATCGAACGAATTAAAAAGATCAATTGATTAATTCACCATTTCATCTTCATCACAATGTAACATTATCCACTGATTTTTAAGTAAACAATTTACCTGGTGTACTATTTTGAATAGTAGGTGGAAGTGGCTGTTGAGTTCAGGCGAAAGACAGCCTACCTACCCACATTTCATACCAGATACCAGATATATCCATAACCTGCGGGTCAATTTACACACATCAGTGCCGTGTCAGTGAAAAATAAAATATCGTTGCCTCGATTTCTAATGGAGGTGTTAAGACATCTCCCGCACAGTAACTTTTTTACCATCAATGCTTCCTTAGTGTCCTTTCCATGATTGTTAAATACGTAAGCTATTTTGCTTTGATGCCTAGTTTCTTCAGCGCTGTCGTTATTGCGCTAGGCTTAATATAATATTATTGAAAGTGCCCTCAATAGGCTGGCAACGAAAATTCTTACTTTTTCTTTCTTTATTCATAATATATTCTTTCTTTCTTTATTCATAATCTATTTGATAATCAATTTGCTGAGCTCTTGTTTGGTGCATTGATCTAGCGGAAATAAGGGCTCAAGTTCTATTGGATTTGTTGCCGCTGTTTATTTTCCCAACCAGCATATTTAATTATACTGTAGACAAGTTTTGAAATGACACAACTATATCCCGAACCGTGTAAATTTAGTTCTGTATCTTTTTTTTCTAGTTCAGCAAATTTCCCTAAGATATTTTCGTTTTTATGTAAAAAACATCAAAGTTTAACAGAGGAAAAATACCAGATTTTTAGTGAATTTTAATTAATTGTACCACTTTGGGACAAATCTTGGACTGCTACTTTATAAATTAGTCGCACAATGTTTTGAGTTGAAGCTTAAACGCAAAAACCGTTAGTTGACCAATGGCTTTTGTTCTCTATGTGTTTTACAGGATATTCATTTGAAAACCTTACCGTCACAACTGGATATTTTACTAAAAAAAAATTAATTACTAACCACCATTTAAGGAGGGTTTAATTAACGTAACATGCTACTCACCGTAATAAACCCGAATTTATCAAACGCAACAACTAAGTTAATCAAAACCGCACTAATTTAAACCGAAAATAAAACTTAAAGTCAAACAGCTATAACGGGGCCAAATGTGGCTAGCATTTCAACACGCACCCCGGTCACTAACAGCCGCCATTTGATATGATGCGCCAAATTGAACAGCTGAGAAGGGTACAGCAGCAGCATTGTATGTACATACATATGTACTGTATTTTAGTGACATCCGTAAATGCGACGAGTAATTGGTATAAGAGGACGTTTGCCTGCCAACTCAGCTAATTGACGAGCGCATCAGTTTTACCTAATTTTTTCTTCGCTTTTGGTGTTAAGATGAATTCTTTCCTTTTCGATTTTCTTCGCTCCCTCTGTAATGTCTTTTTATGTTTTTTGTACTCTTAGCTGGCATAATTAATTAAGTGGGTGTGATATTATGTCTGTAGTAGAATACCAAACTATTGCGCACTCAGTGTTTTCGTCCCCTCAATTCTCAATTGCCACCGTAAACCATTTCTTATGGTTCTTCCCATCAACTTTCACTTACTTTTTTGAGCATAAATTTATTTCATATTTTCTTGCTCATTCCCTTAATTTCAATTCGCAATTCGTTGCATTTTAGTCTCAATTTATCTGTCATCGGTTCTGCTCGCTTGACCTAAATACATTGTACAACTTCCAATTTCAAGTGCTCACAATTTCTTTGATTTGTGGTGTGCGCAATTTACAATATTTTAGCAAATCTCTCTGGCATACTAATTAGACAAAGTGGTTCGACCTGGTTGCCATCAAATTACGCAAATTTGCGGCTACTCAAAATTATTTGGTCCAATTAATTCGAATTAATTTTGATTGAAAGATTTGAAATTAAAATACTGTATAGTTAATTAGTACAATAAATGTCTAAAGCGTTTAGCATTCACGTATAAAATGCCAATATCTTGCAATATAGTAGTTCAATCAATATAGCACTTAAGTTGGAAAAAATTCCACACAGGATAAAAATGTTAACAAGCTGTTCAGAATTTTTGATAAAAAAATATTGGGAATTACCGCATCGTTGCGAAATATGCAAGAATTGCAACTTTACTCCTACAAGGACTACTTCACGGTGATTCCAAAAATGAAATCGGTTTTTTGTACCGGCTACCAATCTCGAAAAACCCGGTTTTTTAAGACCGGTTACCAATTTTGAGAAGAGCGGAGTGATCACGCCCATTTATTTTATTATGGTTATTTAAAAAATAAAGTCACTTTTTTGTACTGGTTACCAATGTCGAAAAATCCGAATTTTAAGTACCGGTTACAGATTTCGTAAAAAGCGGAGTGGTCCCGCCCATTTTTAAATGTATAAGGAGCTCAAACGAATTTAACAATTTACTAAACAAATATTCCTATGGTTTATTCATGTTAAATCATGCCACTCCCTATATTAATGGATACTTTGGATCTCAAAACTCATTCAACGAATCTATTCATAACATTGGTAAACGTATGATAGCACAATCAAGCTAGCGGAGTTCAAATGAAAAAATTAAGAAAAAATATTTTCGCATTATTGCGCTCATTCTGTGCTATTTCAGGCCACTTTTAGTTTTTAGCTTAACCGTAGCTTAGCAAAACATTCATTCAGTGAAGACTTTTTACTGCTTACCTTGGCTTGTTTTTATGTGCTTTAAAATATTGCCGAGTAAACATTGAAAAAAATCGCTTGTCGTCACGTTAGCTGCCCCACTTTTTGAACTTTGATCGAATATGGATAAGTCGTATTGGGAAATTAAGTTCTATTTATGTGCTTTTTAGGGCTACCAAAATTATTTTAGATGCTAACTCAGTTCCCGAGATAATTAAAACTTTGCTAAGTTAACTGTAACTTAGCAAAATATCCATTCACTAAATGCTTTTTGTGCAAACAAATAACTCTCGATTGAGTGTTTACACGTCTCTAGCGAGATTTTTGTCTAAGTCTCGCGTTATTTCTCAACCGTGTACACTTAGCTTAACAGCAGCTAATCGAAAAATGTAACAACTCGTGAGATTTGCTCGTGTGCGTGCTGATTACACTGTAGGGACGCATAAAT